TAAGATATAGAGATTGTGTGAGATATAGAGATTGTGTAAGATATAGAGATTGTGTAAGATATAGAGATTGTGTAAGATATAGAGATGGTGTAAGATAAGGCAAAATTGGAATGAATTAGAATAATTTTGATGCCATTTGCTTTTAATGTGATTGGAATTCTCAAAAATAACAAATGTAAGCATACAACACGCTCTGATTTATGAGGGCAGGGTTTGAGTCTGACAAATTTTAGAACAAATTAAGAACACTAAATGGAACAAACAAAACAATCGACAAAGAGTTAAGACGGTTTAAACTATTTGATATTTTAATAAAATAAAATAAAATAACTCACCGTAACAAAACTGATGTTCCTCCAATTCGGTTGTACTTCGATGGCAACTGTATGACGGCTGGTGAATGGATGGATTGTTAAATGGATTAATGGATAGATAGATGGATAGGTTATTGAATGAATGAATAAATAGATAGAAGGATAATAGATGGATAGATAGATATATTAAAAGATGAACGAATGGTTAGTTGAACTAATTAATCAATTGTTGAAAAAAATTAAATTGCCGAATTTACAAAATTAATTCACGCTGTTTCGAACTAGTGAATAAAAAAATTGAATAACATTGAAATAATCTTTAAATTTGATAAAAATGAGATGAATTTCAAAATGAACAATAATAATTAATTAAATTATTAATTGATTTAATTAATTGATAGATTATTTAGTTGATTCATAAATCATTCCTCGTTAAACGAACCTGTCCTACAAAGGCACTTTTTGATTTGTTTGTAATCAATCGTGTTGTAGTGACAGTACTGGCAATAATAATAGGCTCTGCAAAAAGTGTGCGTGTGTTTATGTGTGTGTGTGTGTTGTGTACATATGTGTGTGTGCGTGCGTGTGTGTGTGTAAAAATAAGCTTGAGGAAATACTATATTTAATTAATAAAGAAATGTTTCGCATATCAACTTACAAAATACACTTGTCTTAAACTGTTTCAACATCCGAGTAGACAATGTTATCTCAAACACCAAAATCGCCATCCTCATTGTCATCATCATCATTATCATCCTCATCATTCGCCATCACCACCACTATCATCAGCATCTTCTTCTTCTTCATCATCATTCCACTCACCACACCTAATCACCTCTTAACTTCATCAGCAGACTCTGCAATGAAGAAACCCCTGATGTTGGATTCGAGTTTGACGTCGTACCTAGGGTTGATGAGGATGTAACTCTCGTCGGCGCCTTCCTGCTTAGCTTCGATGGCGATCAGCAGCAGCTTCAACTTCAAGAAACACAACCTGTCAGTTGAAACTTGCTGGTCAACTTTCTCGTGTAGGTCGGTAGGTAGAGAATGAATACACTTCCAACAAAAATACAAACACTCATACACACACAAAGTTAAATTTGCTTATCCATTTACGAGTTTTATTTCAGCGTTGTCAGCAAGCAAGCAGTTTAAGGTATGAGTCTCTTTCTTATAAAAAAAGCAGTGAAAACTTTCAAACGCTCTGTTTTTATTGAACAAAATAAAGTTAACTTTTAGAACTTTTTCAAGGATAAAGTTCATTAACGTATTAACATTGTAATCAACTTTTCAATTCAATCAAGCAGATTAATATTTGAAG